GAATATGTGCTTGGTTGTTTTTGTGGTGTCAGTAAAAGTAGTGTTTTGTTGTAAAAGTACAATTAAAAGAGTTTTCAAGGCTTTTTTTTTCCCTATTGGGATATGAAGTTACTGTTTTCAAATGAGTAACTGTTCCAAGGCTCGGAAACATTCCAGGTTCCTGGCTTGGGTAGCTTGCTAATTCCAGTCAAGACCTCAGCCAGTGTGTTACAAATTTGTTTTGAGAAGGAAAAAAAGTTATTTGAGTCAGGGTTAGGGTTAAAGGACGCTTAAAATGGAGTTACTGTTGCTATAAAAATGGTATTTTAATTATGTTTACTTTCTTAAAGGTGGAAACACAATGTTGTCTGGATTAGGAGCAAGAGTACAAAAAGAAACCTCTTCCATGTTGCCCCTGGATCTGTCAAAGTATGTACACATTACAAGCCCAGCAAACCGGGACTTCACAGTGTGGAGTGGAGGTGCTGCCCTGGCAAGTTCGTCTGTCATTGACTATGCCTGGATCAGCCAAGAAGACTATTATGAGTTTGGTCCAAAAATTGTTCATAGGAAGTGCTTTTAAATTAGACTTCTGGATAAAGTTTTTTAAAACTTTCTTTTATTAATCATAAATGCAATAATGATTTAACCCCAATGTTAATTGAAAACAATGTTCCCAAATGAGATCTGTACTTCTATATAGCAGGTGACTTTACTCTTGGCTTCTATTTAGCTGGTGTTATGACCAGGAAAAATAAAGTTTTCATCTTGTCTTTGTATGCAAGGGGAGATATAAATGTTGATGTTCCAGTGCTTGAAGTTTAACGTTGGAAGTTTATTACTGGAAGCTCTGTTCCCACTATGTATTGTGGACAGAGGAAAAGAACGTTGCTGCATCCTGACAGGACTGCACATTTGAGCATTGACCTCAGTGGGAGGAAGGATGTGGTTAAAATGTTAATCCCCTCCAAATGTTAATGTTGTATTTGTGGATGAGGGTGGGGGGGGCAGGGGAAGATGCTGAATTTGGAACTGTTGACGTTATCTATGTTAAGGGAAGAGATGGAAGCAGAAGAAAACTAAATATTTTAACCAAATTTGGACTGCCATCTGAAAGTTGCTGGAACATTACAATACAAGCTACTCATCTGCCTTCTTGAAAGGGCAAAGGAGCAACTTGATATTAACTGAGCTAAATAATAATTTAGAAGGAATATTTAGTGATGAAAAAGAAAATGTATCTTTTGAACAATCTATTTCTACATGGGAATGGACTTGAGCTGTTCTGTGTAGTGAACAATTTTTGTATATGTGAATACATAGAGAATTGTCTATTCAAATTGGTCCCAGATTTTGAATAGTATGACAAACAATTTTAAAATATTTTCTGCATTGATTATGTATGCCTATCTGGGATACAATCACTGGTTAATTTAGGAGCATTGAGATAGTGCCATGAATTCGGTTCTGTGCAAAAGAATGGCTCTCTTTTAGAGGCCAGTCATATGTGAAAACACTTTTTTTTTAAAAGTCAGTTAAAGTTTTTTATTGATTTTTAAGATCAGGGATGATACCATCACAGGGCCTTTTCTGGGAGATTCATTTCATAAAATGTTTTATCTCGTATAAATTGCCCTGAAACTTTGTACTGTAATTCTTTGTAACTTTATCTTAATCTAATAGCTGCTTCTAAGAGAAACACGCCTTAGACAATTTTAGGAATGTATTTTATGTGCCATTGAAAGGATGAAATTCATACTCCTTTGAAAACAATTACAAACAGCAATGTGACTGTTAAAATGATCATAGTTTTGGGAAATGCTTTTTATTACAATTCTTGTTGCAGCATTTCAATTTTGGTTGCTTTTATGTCAGTATTGCATTTAAATCCTGTTAAATGTGAATCAAATTTGCCAAGAGATCTACTTGAAATTGAACCGTTGAATCACACAAGTGTTGGGGACAGGTTTACATTTTGTTAAATTCCAGTCTGTCGTCAACATGGTAACTCTGAAGGAAATGCAATCACTGGGAACTAGTTCTTTGCCAATCACGTCTATATGTTTATATTTTTAAATGTAATAGTTTGATGTGTTGCTTTTAGCAAACCCAGTCTGACATACAGGAGGCAAAGACGGCACATTCTTCCGACTGGCTTAAATAATTTTAGTCACCTTTTTAGTGCAGAACCAATCCAATTCCAGTTCTTAAATACAGGAAGCAAAACTGTGCACCTTCTTCTGGATGCAGTCACACCAACGCCCTATACAGTTGTAACAAGACTTCCCCGTTCTTAAACTCCAACCCCCTAGCAATAGAGACCAAAATCCCATTTTTTGCACCTGCATGCCTTTTTGTGTATCATGCACAAAACAGCCATTCTGCACTTTTTTTGGAATCTCTCACCATTTAAGATGCCTTTTGATTCTTCTTACCCAAGTGCAAGTCTTCATACTTTGCAAAGCTTTTCATCTTGCACTCAGCAGGCCAACCACAAAAATAACACATTTTAAACAATCATAGTCATTTATGTGACAGGAGAAAAGGGTGCTGATTAGTTGGCAAACTGGATCAACTTACCAACCACTTGGTACCTATTTCTCCTGCAATTTGAATTGTTGAGATTGCTTGAAATTTAGCCTTCTCCTATTTGTCCCAATGAATGCAAGACAAAAGCTTTGGTAACATGTTACTCTTTTAAGCAATATCTTTCCTGTTCAGTTGACCACGCTAATGTGCTCAAATATTGGGCTGATAGCGTTACTGTGAACAAATCCAGTCGCTTTAGTTACTTATTCCCTGGGAATCGGGAACAAAGAACTGCTACAAAATAGACAATTATATTCCTCAACTATCCTTTCTAATTCAGGTCTGTATATGTGGCTAAAGCAATTTGATGAGATGCTGAAATTGAGTAGATTGTCATTAAAGGAACATACACAAGAGCCATGTAAAATCATTAGGTCTCATTAGGGTGAAGGTGGAACAGGCAATCTGATAAAAGGGAAAATACACGCAAGTAAAAAATTGGTAACTATCTAATTTAGCCAGAGGAATGAGTTATGTAAGGAGATTTTACTTGTTCAGGAAAATAGTACTGGAGATGAACTTCTCTAATATATTCTGTCATTGTAAGTCAGTATATCCTTCAATTTGTCATAAGCAAAGTCACAAGAGGTCCACCAGTACCTACTATAAATACACACATGGATGTGATCTTTAGGGAAGAATGACTACCATTAATATCACTCATTTGTAGAAATCAACATCTTTTTCCATTTGTGTTTATCACAATTTCATAAGTCACAGTATTGTTGATGGTTTTAATTCTTGAGGTAATGTTACGTTTGATTATTTGCACAAAAATGTATTACTGGTGAGCAAAGCATAATGAGCAGGACCTTTGTATT